TCTCGAAAGGTGGCTTAACTTTAATAGGTGAAAGAAGTATGGAATTCTTATAAATATTAGCTTAGTATTTTATAAGCGACGCTAAGCTCTTTAAATTACTACGATATTCGGAAATACTCTAGACCGTGAGAAAAATTATTAATATTATACTTATATCTTATATTCTTTAAGCTTTATTTATACTATTAAGAATTTATTACTAAGAAGTCTAATTTAGTTAAGTAATAGAGTAGTAGCTTAAATATAAAGTCGCTTTTATACGAAGTCGTAGTCGTAGTCGTAGTTCGAAGATAATTCTATATAGTTAGATACTATAAATTAATAATAATCTCGTTATAATATACGGAGTAAAACTAAGAGCTAAAAATAGATTAAAATCTTAGCTATATTTTAGCGAATAATATTAAAATATATTATTTCTCTTCGTGACTATATTTACTATCTAAGCGAACGGTCCACTTAGCTTATTATTAGAATTATATCTTTTCTTAATCTCAGCCAGCTTATTGAAATTTATACTAAAGACCTAGTGAGTATTAGCGGAAGCTCCTAATATTAGCCCGATTAATGAGCTTTTACCTTCTTTAGGTCAATAAAATTCTCTATGAAGTTTAGAAAATAGTCGGCTCCTATGTGGCCGGGATGTATCTCATACGGCCCCTCTGCCATCGCTTTATATGCTAAAGCGTCACTCTCTGGCGAGCCTGGTATGACCCCTGTCCCTAATTGAAGATTGTGCTGGTTTCTGGTATGAGGCCAGGCGGAAACTAGGCTAGGAAACCCAAGCGATTGATAGACAGCCTATTGGCATTAGCCTGTAGAGGTGGCGCGTCGAGTAGTTCTTACCTTTTGCATCACTTCCATGAGGACATAAGTACCCATGACAAGTTTAGGATCCTTCTTCAGAAGTGCCAGATACCAATCCCAAGCTCGGAGTATTAAATTTTCATCGACGGCAGGAACTGTGACCCCTGCTGCCCACGTATTAATCTTCCCAAATGGGGCTCTTGATGCATCTGTCTTTAGTTAGAGATGTCTAAGTGAGAACAATGACACCTACCAAATTGCTGGTTGACTCCTCGAAAATTTAAGGTCTTGGTTAGATCAACGGCTCCGGGGATATCCAGTGCCCATTTAAAACCGTCTTTACTGCGGCCATGTTCTGGCCCGTTGGCATCGTATACAAAGATCGCCAGTCCCGGCTTCGGTTCCTTGCCTGCATATGTTCCTGCTGTCATGTCGAGGCAATATAAATGCAAAGCCATCTTTGCATCACTGCATCTTGAAGCAAACGCTGCAGTCTCTCGCGCAATATCCTTCAGTGCATCTGGGGCATATACGATCTGTCCACAGAATATCGAAGATGGATATTTGTAAACTCGCATCTTGAAAGCGGTAGCCACTCCAAACCCTCCACCTCCGCCGCGGAGGGCCCAAAGCAGCTCTGGCTCTTCACTCGCCCAAACATTGGTGCCATCCATCTTAACCACTTGGACATCAATCAGATTTTTTGGATCGCACGCAAGACCGTACTCCGAGCTCAGCCAGCTCTGTCCGCCATGAAGGATTGAGCCACCGACACCGACATAAGTGCACCTAGCACTGACTGACGCGTATCCCGGTGCATTTTCTTCTAGTTTTTGGTCGATCTCTCCCCAGCAATGACCCGATCCAAAAGTGACGGTCTCTTCATGCGGATCGAATTGGAACGACTTGAACGCGGAAAGTGAGATTAAAATGTCTCTGCTGGTAGCATTTCCGATACCTGTACAACGAATCCCAATGTTGAGGTCCGTTGTGTTCGCGTATGAAACCACTCTGCTCAACGCTTCCACGCTTTTCGGCGTGACCACAACTTGAGGGTGTTTGTTGGCCTGAACAGCCCATGTTCTCGACTGCTCTTCATACTCTGGAGATTCGGGGGTTACAATATCAGCTGGTGTCAACAACGCTAGAAGATTTGCGAGCTGTGTCTCCGCCATTTCGAGTTCTGGCAGAAAAAGGCAGTTGAGGAAGGTCGAACTTCAGTTCTGAGAACAGCGATTTTATTGTCATTCCAGAAAGTCTTAATTACGAGGCTGACGCCGCAGAGGACTGGCTGCCTAAAGTGTCCAGCCCAATGCGAATAATACCGCCACACTCCTTACGATCTTTACTGGGATGCCCCACGGAATTAGGCTTCGCTCAGAACCAGTTGAATCACGACGAAGAGGTACGGCGCCCCGTTCCCGTGAGTAAAGGAACTACACTGCCCTCTTGCCAAGCACCCTGTTACCTTCGCTTAGAAGTGCGGGTGGCCTCAGGATAAATTGAATCTCTTGGAATGCAGTCCTCCCAGACCCGTATGTTTCTCGAATTGATTGTTAGATCATGGCTTCACTCGTTGAAATCGACTCGCTAGAGGTCTTGGTCATTGTCGATAATGAGGTTGATCCCATATCCTCGTACCGGCACCCGGATGTAAAGGTCTCCGGGCAGTTGGCTGAGGTCGCGGCGAGAGCTCCACTACAGGACGGAACTAGGGGTGCCTCGAAATTTGAGATTCGCCTCGACAATGTCTGCTGCGGTGCGCATGGCTTATCGCTAATGATTGTAAGCAAGCTGCTTTTCGGAAATCGCAGCTGCTGATGATTATTTAGACGGCTGTCAGAGAGAGAAAGCGGCATACGGTCCTTTTCGACACTGCTCCTGAAGAACAAATCTGGGAACTGAATGTGAAGCGCTTGAGAGCAAAACTCAGCTCAGTTGAATGGATTCAGTTATCCCACTGGCACCGTGACCATTCGGGGGGCATGTTAAAAGCGATATCAATGATCAACGAGGCAAAAGGGAATACAGGTATTCCAGTTGACCTTCATCCAAATCGGCCGACATATCGAGGCTTCCTAGGCCCGACTGGTCCGATCTCACTCGAGAAGGATCCCACTTTTGAAGAGATCGAAGCTGCCGGGGCCAGAATTGTGAAGAATGACCAACCGCACGCGATCCTCGAAGACATGTTTCTTATCTCCGGAGAAATTCCCCGGGTTACTCCTTATGAGAAAGGCTTCCAGCGAGGGTTGAGATTCAACCCGGAGACCGGCAGCTGGGAGACCGATGAGTTAATTCTGGATGAAAGGTTCCTGATGTGTAATGTGAAAGGTACGAAGTCCATTATGTTTTCAGACCCGACACTGACAATGGTTATAGGGAAGGGGATCGTGGTTTTCACTGGGTGTAGCCACGCAGGAGTTGTAAATGTTGTCAAGAATGCTTTGCAGCTGGCTGGAGGGACGCTTCCATTATTTGCAGTCATTGGCGGTTACCATCTTGTCGGACCAAATGAGGCATTCATTAAGGACACCGTTGCAGAGTTGAAAGAGTTGAATCCTCGCATCCTGATCCCAGGACACTGCTCTGGGTGGAGAGCCAAGTACGAAATAGAAAAGGCGATGCCCGGAAGGCTAGCCCCTTCCACGGTTGGCACGCAATTCGTGCTATAACACGTAGATCAGCAGCAGGGCGTCAAACATCTTTGTGAGGGCCGCCATTTCAGCAGGGATGATAAAGCTTGCCAACATAGTCCAAGGCCGGGCGCGTAGTGGTGATGCGTCGATGGGCAAAAAATACTATTTATTCCTCTTCTCTCACTCCCTTTAGCCATTGTCACAAACCATACAATTACCTATCAGTCGAGGCCAAAGGTGAACGATGCTTTTAGTGGCAGGACGTGGTCTCCGGAGTTAGGTCGAAACCGGACTTATCGCACCATATCAGCAGAGATATCTTGCCAACCCGTGTTCAGCGGAATCTTGCCTTTTATTTGACAAGAATCAAGCAGATCAATATGGCTTCCCATCAACGCAGCATTGCCATTGCCTTTTTGGACACCTTCAAAGATCTTGATCTTGAGTCTAATCTTGCTCTAAGGAGCCCTGATTGCGCCCATACTATCGCTCCTGCAACGTTGAACTTCACTCCGTGCATGTCGAACGAAAAATGGGGAACCCACCTCTTGTCTTTGAAGAAGAAGATTTCAGCACTTCCAGTCACTCCCAAAGAGATATTCGAAGGAGATAACCTTGTCACCGTTTGGGCAACCAGCAAGGCGACGTTTCGCGATGAAGGAAAAGATGAGGACTTGACGGTGGACTGGAGCTATGAGGGAGAATACATCTTTGTCTTCACCTTCAATCAAGCTGGCAACAAAATCCAGCACATCCTTGAATTTATCGACAGCACAAAGGTTGAGAAGGTGCAAGTATTACTCCAGCGAGCGGAGCATAACCTGGCAGCAAAGACGGACTAGATATAGCACTCGAGAGGTTGCCGTCGAAAGCATGAACACTGCATAGGGAAGATATGACCGAATTGGTGAATGCACTTCATGCCGCTTTTTCCTAATCCATCTTGAGGTTCTTCCGTTTGCCGTTTGGCGATGCGGTTAATCGTCTCGAAGATCAAATGCTCCTTCCTGCAAGAGACCATCCACCATGCTGTGCGAGGACCCAAACTCGCGGATAAAACGAATGGTGCTTTCGCTCAGGTCGGCGGTTCCCAAAGCTGTTTGAGTAAGTCCTGGCGCCATTACCTGAACCCAGCAGGCCGTTGGGTCATGTATATATTTAGCATTGGCGCTCTAGAACCCCTGTATCGGTAGTCGTTATCACTAGTCAGCACTTGGCTATTTCTCTCCCGGTGACAAAGTCTGGCTCTGCTGTTAGGAGCCTCGATTGTAACGGTCTTCACGATCATGTCCATACGTCTCAGTCCTGCAGGAAATGGAAATTCGAGGTGTTGAGAAAGGATAATCCTCCTCGAGGAGCAAATTCAAAGTTGGCAGTTGATCCAGAAGGTTTTCGACCCCGAAGCAGTCCATCAACCAATTCTTGAAGATGTAGACCCTGGCCTGCAATTCTTCCGCGGAGAGGGCATGTCCCCGTCATCGATGCGGCTACTTTGATCAGCCTAATGTTAGCACACGTCCCCACTGTTGGGGGTTACGTGCTCCCGTTATACGCAATCAGAGAACCTCTCGCATGGAAAAGCTCAACCCATGGTACATAACTGTCAAAGGAGTTGACGATCACCCCATCAAATCGTGGGAAGATATTCGAGCTGAAAGAAGTTTCTTGAAGGACTCAAAAGGCTTTGCCTGTCAGACCAATTGGCTCTTCTCGATTGCAGGGCAACCGAGACAAGTAATCGTGACGTTCCGAAATGAGGCCGGCCATGTCTGGATGACCGGCGCGGTGGCAGTGCGTTCCACATAACACAGTTTTGGTCCTCACCTCAGGATTTGTATGCTTTTTAGAGGGTTGCTGACGAAAATAACACATTCTAGGCTGAGAGTATGCGAGATCGAATGGACTCGAAGTGGTGTCGTTGCTTTGGACGCGCGGGGCCAGACGCTATCGGTGCATACCGACAGAAACGTTTTGACTGGTTTGCAGCCCCTGACAGCTTCTTCCGCGACAGCGCCTACCGAGTACCTCGTACATTTTCCTGATTCATCAATTCTCTCAGGGTCGACAAAACCCTCAAACAGGACCTTAATACGTTCATCCTGTTGCCAGCAGAATGAAGCGCGAAGAGCTCCTGTATTCCCAGGGTCGTCGCAAAAGGTCTCTGAATTGGGGCAGATTGAAAGGGGCGCAGAATCTGTGGCCTGCTTCGATGACGTGTAAAGCTTTCCACTTCTGTCGTGGGAAGATTACCTGAACTCAAACTACTCTGCGTCTCGCAAACGAAACGAGCCCGGCAGAGATTTCTGAAGACGATGCAGATAACGTGTTGCGTCGACAAGAGAAGAGTCACTCTGGAGCATGAATCTCTGCGACTTCAAGGCTGTGTCGGATGCATGGTAATGCCACCTTCCTGAAGCTGCAGCCACTGGTCAGATTTTTCAGTTAACTCTTTAGCTGGCGTGAGACAGTTTTTCTCCCTGTGCGTCATGAAGATTGCAACAGCAGGCCTGTGATCAGGAAGAAAAATATCATGCCACCATGGCAAGAAGGGCAGGTTCTGAGAGTCGGCTGTGATCCAGCTGAGCCGAAACCTACGGGGTCTCATATAACCAAGGAGGCAAGGATACGCGGTACCAGAGGGCCAAAAACAGCAACAGCAAAGTGGCGAACCAGTAGAAGGGGGATATGCCATGAGCTTCGAAGCCTTTGGCCTTTCCAGATCCTGGGCTAAATTGCGGGGCGATCGGGAGAATGCAGAGCGACAAGGGGACGCTGACTCGATCGGCATGTCGTTTGGGGAGAGAATAAACTCCCAAAACGGAACCAACGGCCCATGAAAGTCATGAAAAGAGGCAGTTGGAGGGAGGCGGGAGGGGCACAGCACAGGCCACCTTGCCGCCGATGCCCTTTCGAGGCAATCAGATGAAGAGAGAAATAATGCCTGCCACCAGCGAGAGTTTCTGACGGAGTCGCTTGCCGTTCCCCTTGGGTCGTATTTCGTCAGCTTGCGTGCTCTGGCTGGTGTTGGGTGGTGCTGCGTCACCAGTATCCTTCGTGTGTGTGCATAGTAAGCTTTTTCTCACCACAACCCCCAACCGCAACCACCGCCACCGGCATCACTTGCCAAACCCTTGCATCCAGCTGGGTAGAAAGATCCTCGTTCCACACGTGGCAACCCAGCACTTTTCAGGAACGTCGCGATGGGCATTGGCCCTGGATTCAGCCCTCTCCAGTTTTTGCTAACCCCTGTTCGGCTAGCCATGCGACGTGCATGCTGGTCCGTTATCACTTCTGAACCGCTTGCGACGAGGCTCTCCAATCCTGGAGAAAATTCTCCATCTCGAACTGTGAAGCGCCCAAGGCTTGGGTACTGTGTTGCTGGTTTTGCTGGTTACGAGATTCCTGACACATTCGCCCGCTTGCGCCCCCATCTCACAGCCTGGCCCGCGGAGGAGATGCGACGCAACATTCCAGACACCCGCACCCCTGACTGAGAACAAGTTTGGCACGGTCACGACTTATCTGGGTGCACGGGAGTTCGAGCCAACAATACGCCGAAGGGCGGTCAAGTTAAATATCCAAGGGAAACCGCTGAACAACAGTCCCTCGAGAGAAAGGACAATCGGCGGCCTCTTCAGCTCTGTCACTGCAATCAACCACTTGGTGATGGGACATGCATCTCGCATCGTAAACCCTACCTCGTAGCCCGCATACCCATAGCGTCCTCCCCAAAACCACCTTTTTCCGCCATTCCGGATGGGCAACATTGGTCGTCCGAGCACGGGGTGTTTTCTGTGTCGCAAACGGAGGGTCAAGGTCGGCCACGCCGTGCCGGGGATCTAGGATCATTTCGTGTGCTGACGGATCATGACTCTAGTGTGACGAAGGCCGCCCCGGATGCCGCAACTGTGCGAGGCTGAAGAAACCCTGCCCCGGATATCGAGAACCCGGCTATAGTTTTATTCGAACGGCCATCTTTGTATCGAACCAAGCAGACAGCCCGGCTCCAAGGTCATCATCCTCAGAGAACCTTCCGCAACCAGCACACTTTCGGGCCAGCTCGACGTCCACCGAGGGCGAGGATAGCGATTCTGCCACCAGTGACTCGATCCTTCATTCAGCCTCACGTGCTACCCAACGGTTACGCCCGCTGAACAGTCTCTCTAGCGATCCAACTGAACAAGCAGTCTGCTATTCCCTCACACAACTCGATGCCAATTCGCGCGTGCTGTATGGGAACCATGCATTCAATTTCTTGCCCGAGATACTCTCAAACTCGGGGCGAGACTCTTATCTCTATGCCGCCATGCGATCAGTGGCAGCAATCAATTTGGCCAACCGATCACCCACCGTCGACATGCACTCCATTATTGAATCTGAATATGCGCGAGCCGTGTCAATGGTGACAGCTGCATTGGCAGATCCGGAACAGTGCTTGAAGGACGAGACCTTGGTTGCAGTATGGCTGCTTGGAATTAGAGAGGTAAAGTGGCTTGGCCTATTCTGCTCGTGAATTTATCTAACACGGGAACAGCTTCTGGCAAGTGTCAATGGACCACGCGGGAGCTCAGCCCACCAGACGCATGTCGATGGCACCTTGATGCTTCTGCGGTTACGCGGCGAAGAACAGTTTACCCGCCCTGAGGGTCGTCACCTATATCAAACGCTTCTTTCGGCCATGGTATGGGCACCAGGCAAGAACTTGGGGATGCTGAGTGCTGACCTGTTTCAGCACTGGAGGCCTCTGTTCGCCAGCGAAGAGCCATCCCCTGAATATCTTATGCTGGAATCACAAATACCAAAAGCCACCCATACGGTCCCGACTGCATCTTTGAGACTAAGAAATTTCTTCCACGGTGTCTCTAAACTCCGGGCCCGGATCAAAAATTTCCTTCTGATGCCCCAGAACACGTCCATCGACGGATTTCAAACGGTGGACTCTTACCTAAGAGCTGCAGCCAGACTGGAGGACAAGATAAGCGGATGGTGCGACATTCTCGATTGGCTTCCCCGTAAAGTATTGGTGGACACGCAGCAACGCCATCTGCATCGCACACCATGGACGTCCGGAACACTTTTTAGGCTGCACTGCTTCGAGTCTTGGGAGGCTTTCTTCCATTGGAACCGATACTTTGTGGCAAGAATCTGTCTGCATGCGGCCCTCCTGGATGCAATCGCAAATCTCTCGGGCTATCGATCAGGCTTCAACAGTGGAAATTCGACAGCTAACGCCAACGAATTGGTCATTTCACACACCACAATAATCCATGAGACAGTCAAAGACTTCCTCGGGACATTGGCTTATGCTTTCGGGGACGTGGATAAAAACGGCAAGATGCGATCCACTTCGACTGCTGTAGTCGGTGATGGGGCGTCGACCGAGCCGCGTGGCATTGATTTTCCTAGCACATTGCAAGTCCAAGCACCCTTATCATATCTGATTAGCTTAAAGTACCTCGGACACGGACAGCGAGAGGCCATGTTTCTGGCTCTACAGCGTATTCGGGCCGAATTTAGTGTACGGTGAAAATGGATTCGCAGAATTTAGACTGGAAGAAGAAGATGATGATATCCAATCTTACTAAGTAACGAAACAGATTAATACCCATAGCGTCCCATATTTGCCTTCAGCGATTCAATGTCTTCCAAGTAACCTTTTATGAGGTTAATTGGATCTTTGTTGCTGTTATCTGTACCAATGTGTCATAATGGATCGAGATGCACCACTTGCAATTCAAGGTGGCTCAGAACATATTATCTAAATCCAAATCATTGAGATCCATGTCGTTCCCTTGAAGGCCATAGAGAGCATCAAAGCTCATGTCCGCGTCGTTGGGGTCCAGGTTTCCCATGGCAGCGACTTCGTCAAGCACTTGATCGATCCCGTCAACTTGTCCCTGTTCTGTCTGTATATCCATCCCACCCGATACAGCTGTAGCAGCGTCGAGGTTAGGATTCGTCGTGTCCATATTTGTAAGTTGTTGTGTAAAAGTGAATGAATCCAAGCCCATTTCCGGCACGCCAAGAAGATCTGTGTACGCTTCGACTTGTCGGTGCAGACGAACGACCCCTTCAGCAGTCAATGTTTCCCCTCTCTTCAAAAGGCCCCCAAGGTCATTGTATTGTAAACGTAAAGCATCGCGAAGACCATTTCCCGCCATACATACGGTAGTTGTTAATGCATCAAGAGCGAAAAGGAACACATGGCTGTCGCTTAGCTGCAGGAGCACCCCAACTATGGCTCGCAAGGTCGTGTGAGGACCTCGAACTTCCACAGCACGGCTCACGAGCGCAGAAATGTCCCGAGAAGTAGATTGGTCTCCATAGTCCAAAGTGGCCGTAGAGGTAATCAGTGTCACTAGGCTATGTTGCAGTATGTCGAGGACTCCCGGGCCTGGAATCTCGAAGTCTCGTTCTGAAAAAAGGGAAAAGCCTGGACATTGGTTCAAGATCTGAAGGATAGGGTCGGCGTTAGTGTCTTGCGATCCGGCAGCCTTGAGGCGCATCTTCAGCCTAGGTGCGCACATTGCCAATATCGTGTGGTGAATATCTCGAGACTCTACCGATCCAGGTGGTTTTATCAGAACCTCCAACACCTTTCCAGCAACTGTGGGCTCATGCCGGAAAACTTCTGCAGCCCAGTTCATCGCCGATATCAAAGAGGGCAGCAAGAACGGCTCAAGAAGATCTATGATCAGTGAGTTCGTGCAACCCCTGGGAATTTCGGTACTTACAATCTAGGCCAGCTTGCAAAGAGTCATGGGTCAACTTTCCCTGTTGGTGGGCCGTCATTGATTGCCGGAGGAGAGTGGGAATCAAAAGGTAGAAGTCGTGCGGACTGCAATTAATAAACAGTTCATCGCTCAGACCCTCAGCCAGGTAAAGAGCATTGATCCAATTCCCCAGATGAGATTTTTTTTCCTCGGAGAGACTCTCTAGGCTTTCTTCATTGTTCTCCTGCTCCAGATATTGAGCCAGGAACCCATCCTTCTTGCGAATACCTAAGCTTGAGTTTGACAGCGCCAAACGAGCCCTGCTAATCAAGATCAGGAGAAAGACGGCTCCAAAATCGTCGTATACCGGTTGGGCCTCACCTTCTTCCAATTAGCGGATAACGGGTTCGGTGAGATCTTACTTACCGTGTATCTCATCCCAACGCCACTCGTCTAAAAGGCCGCAGAGAGGACCAAGGAAAAAGGAGGGGCGAACAAATAGAGCAATGCAATTGATGGCAGCAGGTCTCCGTAGGATTGCATTGGCGAGATCTCTGAGATATTGAGTTTCCTTATTCTGGCAATAAATATGCATGATCTGAAACTTATTAGAGCAGATCTCTCGGAACGAATAAATGACAGACCTCAACAACAGCCTGACTGATGAAACCCGCACTTCCATCGCTGCGGGTCAGCTCTTCCACGAGTTTCGGTCCTCTGATATGATTCACGTTGACTTGAGCCACAAGATCATCCTTAGCGTACAACCCCTTGTTCAAACCTTTCAGCAAATCCTCGCTTCCAACAAGCTGTGCAGCAACTTGTGCTGGTATCAAGTGATGCAAAGCACAGACGTGCAGAAAACGCGCGCCGGTTAAAAGAAGGTCTTGTGCTGAAAGTAATGGCATCACTTGATGCCATGCTTCGGTTATGGCTTGTTCGGTGCTAAAACTGTTGAATGAAGAAGCTGATATCATAGACAGAAGCGCCGGAAGCTTATTCTGGATGAAGATTTGACTCTGCTGCACGCACAAAGTTCTGGTTGGGGTGGTATGCTGGGCTTTGAGAATTGAAAACGAGGATGTAAAAATGTCGCTAAACATTGACTGGTAATCATTCTGGTGACGCGAGGAAAGCCAGTGCACGGTCCCACCATCGTCAATCGTCGAACCTGTGAAGAGCAAACCCTCGAGGTAAAGCATTGTGCCCGCTTTGGAAGCCACCAGCTGGCTATCTGCAATGGAGACTTGGAACTGAAGCGCTTGGATCTCGGAGCCTGGGGCTCGTGCATTGCCCGGTTGCGAGGGACTGTCATCAAGAAGGTTGATATGCTTCAGGACTGTGTTTATCCGTTCCATGAGCTGAGGGGAGAGCATGGAATACAATGGCAGACAGAGTTCAAATGCTTGCTTTACCGAAATCCCCAAGTCATTAACATGCCCTTGCTTGTTCTTCTGCCTCAAACCCTCGGGCGGCGACAAAGCTTCGAGTCCAGCATCAGTTGCCGCCATAGAAGCCATGAGAAAAGCGAGGAGTTCAATGGTGCCGTTGAGCTCCAGGCCTGAGGGTTCAGGATCTCCTCGTGAAGCCTGCCGCGCCAATGCGGAAAGCCATCTTGATGAGATCTGTAGAGCTAGTCGTGCTTCGGACACAGTGGTCTTGTATTTCGGCGATACAACCACCATAGTCAAATCTTGCAGAGTGTCATTGTAGCATGCAAGAGTATCCCGCGACGCTGGAAATTTCGTGTCATTCCACCGTTTTGTGAGGATTATCAACGCGTCAGAAATGGCAATAATTCCAGTGATTGCAATATAGTCGACGTAAAGTGAGATGAGAGGGTCTCCTGGCTGGCAAAAGAAATCTCGGCATTCAAGAAAGCCCAAAAATAATCGTTTGCCATCAATCTCGTTGTCATGGGACCGCAACAAGTCGCTAAATTGTTGGACAGAGATCCGACGAATGACACACTGGCGAGCTAGAGTCATCCACCTTGAGACCGTCATGATATAATGGTTGCTTTCACTTAACAGGGCTGGAGGGATACGCTGTAGCGGGCTTAATTATCCTTCATGTGCAAGAAAAAATTGTAATATTAAGAGGCCCTTGGTTTAGGAGTTGCACATGCGTAACCTTCCACTCGCCAAACTAACTCCCCATGGTCGACAGGGCGGAAACCAAATATGCGTGAATGTTATTAGCCCTATAGCGCAGAGTTCGTGGCAAACTCTGCATATGCTGCAAACACTGCAAACACTACAAAATACAACAACTCAGCGGATTACCTCATGTGTTGGACTTGGCATTGTTTTGCTTTAATCCTAACCATTACTTGACCTTTCAGTCCGATTACTCTTCACTCTTTGCGACGGCTTCCAGTCAGGACCGCAGGCGCCCCCAAGGTGATGTTGCTCCTAATATGCCATCCAGTCCAGCTATACCTTACGCAGTGGCAACCCCCATGAAGCCTCGAGCCCCTGCGCTGCATCGCTAACTAACCATTTTTTGACCCAAATTGCCAGCGATGGCCGAAGGTCGTTTTCGAATCAGTCCACTTCCTAACGAAGTTTGGAAAAAGGTCTCATCTTCCTTCGAAATCACCTCTCCAGAGCATGTCGTCGAGGGTCTGATGAGAAATGCTTTGGACGCCGATGCATCCACAATTGTTATTGAAGCGGAACTGTCAAAGGGTTGTCTCTCAGTCTGCGATAATGGAAGCGGGATCAACGAGGTGGAGTTCTCAGAGCAAGGCTACCTAGCCAAACTCCACTGTATGAAACAGCTTCATATGGCTCTTGACGCGAATCTGACTGGTGTTTTCCAGGCTCTTCCAAACTCAACGAATCGGATCCTACGTACGGTCGCTATGGTCGTTTCTTGTCGAATCTCTCCTTTCTGTCTTTGTTGTCTATAGCCTCTGAACATCGATCTGAACCGTTTGCAAATCGATTGATCCTACACCGTGGTGATGTGATCTGTCGCCAGCTGCGACTCAACAAAGAGGAGGTGGGGATTGTGCGACAAGGTACAGTTGTTACAGTCCACAATCTATTCGGCGATATGCCAGTCCGGTCCAAACAGTTGTCGCTGCGCTATTCTTCTTCGGCCGAGATTGAAAGAGCTTTTAGCCGGATAAAGGAAATGCTTGTTGGGTATGTGCTTGCACAGCCTCGCACAGTTGAAGTACGATTTTCCGTCAAAGGTGAAAGACAGCACAGCCTCTATTGCTGCTCTCCTACGTCGAGTAAAGGCCATTTCTCACTCGAGTCGACTATATCAACGCTATTCCAAGCTAAGCTCGTGTCATCTCTTGACACCAAGAAATGGCGCTCAGCATCTGTTCGCACGAGCCACTTCTGTATTCGTGCCGCTATCTCAATCGAACCATCCCCGTCCAAGACAACCCAGTTCATCTCTGTCGGAAAGTTCCCAATCCGGAGGGGGCATGGAATTAACTGTTTGTTTGACACCATTGATAGGCTTTGTCAGGATTCGAGCTTTGGGTATTTGGATCTCGAGCCTAGTATCTCGTGTGACGAAACCCGAGATCGGATATTCCAAGACAAGACTACGCAGTGCGCCAATCTGCAAAAGTGCGTGGATAGATGGCTTATGTTCCACATTCAAATCGACCCAAGATCCGGGGAATTTTCACGATCGCTCTGGGTTGAACAGTCTTCGGCAGAGATGCTACCCGTCATTGATCATTTGACCAGGGCAGTCGAGTCATTGGTCTCCAATTTCCTAGCAATATATGGACACTTGGCCGGTGCGGAAAGAAGCAGGTCGAGAACGGGACACGGTCGAACTAAACATGAAGAGGATTCTTGCCACCGACTGCATGTTGGGGAGACCGCTTCTGGAAACTCGCACCTTGCAACTGAGGCTCGGTATCTGAGCCACTGGCACCGCGTGAAGAGTGCTCAACCTTCAAGCGAAGATTTTCGCTATGGCTTGGGCTCGAGAAAGTCGGACAATCTTTACTGCATATCCATGCAAGCGTCCAATGGATGTCCGTCGTCCGGCACCCTCCGCGTTGATGATCTGGACCTTGGTGCTACAACCCGCGAGATCCAATTCGAGACTGAAAAGGAAACTGCCGCCGTCCTCCCTTGGATCAACTCGCGCAATGGCCAGGTCGTTTACCTCCACCCTCGCACCGGAGCAGCCATGCCTGTGTCTGCTCTAGACCTTGCACATTTAGATCGAAGTCGCGGATGTTCTACGCCAATACAGAACCAGACCTCTACTTCTTCTAATGACAGTGATGGCAAAAGGCCGCGAGCGAAATCGACACTCAACTTACACAGATATCTGCGAAGGAGCTCCCTCAATCAACCTGAGGCGCCAATCGCTTGCAGCATGTCCGAGGAGGTTCTGGGTGTATCTCGCAGACATGCCGGCGCCGGACGACAGAGTAACACTATTCTTGACTCACAATCCGTCATGAAAGGCTCTCTTTCCAATGCAATCGTTGTCCAGCAAGTCGACCGAAAATTCATCCTTGCCCTTCTCGCTATTCAAGATGAGCACGACCCATATTCGGCGGAGAGGGGGGAGAGGAGACTTCTCATCCTGATCGACCAACATGCCGCTGACGAAAGAGTTAGATTCGAAAAGTTATGTGGCGACTTCTGCAAGCGCACCTCAACAAACCTCACCAAACCACTGATCTTCGAGGTTGACGAAACGGAGGCCAAACTTCTGGAAGAGCAAAAAGATTATTTTCGGGGATGGTGCGTCAGCTATTACATTGTTGAAAATCCACAAGCAGAGCAAACTTCAGCATGTTCGCGCCGCCTTCATACCTGGAGAGTAGAGGTCACGGAATTGCCGGACCTCATCATTGAACGTTGTCGCGCCGAGCCGAAGCTTTTGGTTCATATCATGAGAAGCGAGATATGGTTAGGTGGTGCGCCGCGTCGTTCCCCGCTATCCCATCTCCCTGAGTCAGATGCAACGTCTTGGTGGTCCGCCATTGGGGACTGCCCGAGAGGAATGATCGAGATGCTTAAGTCTCGATCATGCCGTACGGCGGTGATGTTCAACGATCATTTGGACTCAAAGCAATGCCGCGAACTTGTGCAAAGACTATCTCAATGCACCTTCCCTTTCCAATGTGCTCACGGACGACCCACGTTAACAGTGCTGGCAGACCTTGATTGTGGGGATCATTATGGCTCCAGCATGGGTGCAAATATTGATCCCAGCATTGGCGCACTCGGATTTGGCGATGCATGGAGAGCTTGGGTCAAGTAGCCCCTTTGGATAGACAGTAGTACTCGTTATCACATACGGAGTACTCGATTTTCGCGGGTACGCATTACAATAGGAGGCTTGCTGCCTTGGTCTCACCCATTTTCCTTCGCTCCTCTCCCTCTGTTCGCTCGGTCCGCTCTGTCGCCGCTCGCTGTCCCAATGACGAGCGGCTAGGTCGGCTAGACCAAACGCAAGCGCGAAAATGACTTCGGAAACAATTTCGTCAGAGTCGCAAATGCACGGCGGGGGGGGCAAGACGCGTGCGTGATCGTCGTCACAAGGCCGTATCCAATGGGAGAACAGAACAGGCGGCATCCTGGGTGACTGTGCAGGGGCTGGCAGCTGGCCTAGACGGCATTTTTGACGAGCGGCTGGTGGTCTTTGCTGGCGGGCGTAACTTGAGCTCAGATTTGACATCAAGCGCCCAATCGTCGCTCGCGACGGACCTCCATCACACGCATCCAACTTCAAGCTCGAGGCCCCTTTTGGCCCTTGGTGATTCAAGGTCAGCCCTTGCCTCGCTTTTGGAACTCTGCAGCTGTGACGGGCGCGCACCTCTCGCACAAAGGAGGCAAAATGTGGTGCTAGCTCGTTCTTGGAACGGCACAATGGACTGTCGATTACGAGGTTTCGCCAGGACCGACGGGAGAAGGAGCCGGGGGGGAAGAGCAGAAGCCAGGCCGAGAGGGAAGCAAGGCACACAGCCACATACTTGGTCAGCCAGGTGATTTATTTGTATGGTGTTGCGCCTATTACTGGATACAGTGCTCCCTCTTGTTGCTTCAGAACACCCTTTTCGATCTCGTTCGCTGAAAACTTGTCTATCGTCTCTGTCGGAGAATGAAATACCTAGTACCGAGTATAGCTTCCTATGTCTCGACACACCACAGGAAGATCCTTCTCAGACAACTGCCGCCTAGGTTTCCGGTGGCCCGCGGCCCCATTGGGGGGAAAGCTAAAGGCTCAAGCAATTCGTTGGGTGGCCAGTCAGCGGCGAGAACGGAGCTGCAAGAAGGATGCGGCAGCTTTGGTGGCAGCCGGCAAGCGCCTTTTCCAAGCGCCCGGTGGATTTAGAAAGCCCCTTGACTGGCGTTGTGGAAGTCTCCCCGACCAAACACGCTCCTCGCTCTCCCTCACCCGCACCCTCACGACCCTACCCTCGCCCTCGCCCTCGCCCTGGATCGCCCTTGCTCTCTTGCCTCTGTTGTCTCTCGTTTCTCACCAGCTGTCAGTATCAGTTGCAAAAAAAAGTGGGAAAGATGTGCTTAGGCCTCTTTGCCTCAGACTTTTTCCTCTCCTTGCATACAGCTTTAAGTCGGGCCTTTGGAGCACCTTTCCAACCTCTTTGCAGGACTGTTTGCCTTCGTCTTCTTCACCTCTGCAGGACGTCGGATTTGCTTCCACGAAAAGGTGCGGCGCACTCCGCTTACTTGGGCCGAAGCAAGCAATCAGCAGTCAAATCCTTTTTTCGTTGCCGGTCCCGGCTCCACGTGCGCTTCTCGCGTCTGCCGCTTACCTGCCCTTCGACAAACTCCCAGCAAGCAAACAATGGTCACAGTTTACAGAGGACAATTTAAGAGCCTACTGCTCTTTTTTTGAGCCCCGTTCCCTTTGACTCGACAAACACCTCTACCACTTCTTCTAGGGTTCTTGGCCCTTCCCAAACACCCACGACTGCAATTAAGCGCGTGATTCCCCTGGTTCAGAATCGTGAGCCTCCTGGGCGCTTACCTGTCCTCAGGTTGTGACAGATCCTAAGCGCCCATACCCGTACAGGCCTCTGTTTCTCGCCGCGCGTGTCGCCGTCTCGCTCTGCCAGAAATATCAGACCTCCCTCTGGCGAATCCGCGCTTCCAAAGAGCCATTCTCCCTATCCCGCCAGAAGGGGTAGTCAGTGCAAGCGCCCACTTCCGTTGGACACTCATATCCCCGCTTGCAGCCCTTGCCGTCATTGTATTCAGGAGTTGGATGGAAAAGGAGATCAGAATCTTTCAGGAAGATTTATAGCCCGCGGCCACGCTGGGAGCCACCAACTCGCCTGACTGAAAGATCAACTTCAGCATTTGGCCTGCGACCATGCCTCCACCATCGAGTCGGAACGCATCAGAGAATGACGTGACTTCAAGCCCAGATGCCAGTTCGCGGGGGTTTGTCGCGGTCAATAACGCCTCCAGCAACGGTCCGTCGTCAACCCCCCCTAGCATGCATGTCCCTATTGACCATGCCCCAGAAAGCGGTGCCTCTAGCAGACACTCATCTCCGCCAGATCACGCTCCTAGGGAAGGTGAGATGGCAGCTCAAGCTCAGGGTGGCAAGTATCCGCCCCCACAGGGGCAGGAACGTGCTGGTCATAAACGGAAACGATCTGGGCTAGAGGAAGACGAACATTATAGTGATCGTCATTCATATGAATATAGTCCGCGTGGCGGCCCCGAACCACAACACATGGCCAACCGAGCACTGAGCGTCCTTGTGAGCGCCGATCACAATGCCACAGCAGCGTACTATCAAAATGGCGCCAGCCAAAACGGCCATACGTGGCATGCCGAGAAGCCTGTACAGCCAGCTAGTTCCCTCAATGGCCTTCGACCCAGTAGCTCCGAAACGCAACATGGAGAAATATTGCAGCAAGAAGCAAACACATCAGAGGCACAGCCACCGCCGCCTTGGGGCCCGGATTATCAGCCCAGGCTTAACGGCCAACTCATTCACGACCAGTATGGCCATCCCGAGTCTGCAACGGGCGCTCCGACGGTCGCGCCTAAACGCAAACGCAATTTTAGCAATAGAACAAAGACCGGTTGCATGACTTGCCGCCAACGGAAGAAGAAGTGCGACGAAGCCCAGCCATGGTGTGAGTCTCATCAGCAACTGAAAGTGGAATGTAATTTTCTGTGCATGCTAATACTCTATCTTTCCCAGGTAACAACTGTGTTCGGGGGGGGTTCAACTGCAAAGGCTACAGTGTGAACAGGCGTGCGGCCCCGACCAAGCCCACGCCGATTAGAGGCCCAGTTCCGCTACAGTCCAGGGACCGTCCGGGTGACGTGTCTGAAGCCTCGACTTATCAAGGATCTCGCATGGAAACTCCTATCAAACGTCAGGATAGCGTTCAACCGCGACCAATTCCCGTTGGCAGTAGTGAAGGACAACATCCACCGCCGTATGAGCTGAGTCCACAACGCAATGAGCCACAAACCCGACCACTTCGGCCCAACCAGCATCCCGCGTGGCAGCCGCCACAAAGCAATAGTTCTTATACCTCAGAGCATCTCCCTCCACTTTCAGATCTGAATCGATCAGAACCACATCCAGGTACAAATTCCCAAAATATGTCACGGTCACCAGCCCAAGGTCAAGCCTACCCTCCGCCCCCGCCGCCTCCTCCGCCCCCTCAGCCTCCAAATCAAGCTCCCCTAGGACCCCATCCTCAACACCACTTTGCTCCTCAACATGCGGCGGGCCCTAATGTCGCCCACCAACCAGCAGCAGCTCCCCCGCCACAGCAATTACAGTGGCATCAGCCACAACAGCCCCAGCAGCAGCAGCCGTATGGGCATGCATATGGCCCTCCTCCGCCTGGGCACCCACCAGGACCGACAGCCAATCCAGCGCCCCCAACTCATGGCAGGAACACATCTTCAAGCTCGAATTTCATGGTCGCAGACAATAAAGACATCAACAAATCCAGGATGTTAAGGCGAGGTCTCTACATCCACACGGATCCCACGTTGATCTATGACCGTCAACGGTGCGCGCGGGCTCTCGCGCGATATCAGGCAGCTCGCCAGCTAGACAGTGGCCTGGGGGAGGAAGAAATTCGCAAACTGTTGATGAAAGTGCTTGATCCTTTGCAAGACACGACGGGCAATTCGTCTTCGCAGGCAGTTTCTCAAGCCCATCTTGGTATCGGGGTGATGGTCGAGGTGCCCTTTACTTGCACATATGGGTACAATCTCCAGATTTTTGACGATGTCTATGTGGACAGAGGGTGCACATTTGATGATGCTGCGAAGATTGAGATTGGGCCTCGCTCAATAATCGGCGCTGGCGTCACCATCTTGACAAGCGACCAAAACAAGGATCTCGTCAATCGCAAGGGCACCAAAGCTGAATGGATAGCAAAGGAAGTGATCATTGCTGCGGGAGTGATTATCGGCGCCAATGCTATTATCTATCCAGGCGTCAGGATCGGAGAAAACGCCACGGTAGAACCGGGTGTGTTGGTTCGCGAGTCATTAAAAGCGAATCAGATACTCCGGGCTGCGCCGGCTCTACTCATTGATCCACACTAGACAATAGATTGGTGGGCTAACAAATGGCGCGAAGGCAGTGGACTTCGCCTTTTGACCTAGCGGTTTGATGGGCTTTATTCGGGCTTTTATTTGGTACAACGACACATGAATCCAGGACTTTCCTTGAAGCATCAGAATCGAGACGTTGTATCCAACCTAACTTGCAGGCTTAGATCTTGGTTTCAAATCCTGCGGTCGAGTTTACCGGCAGTATTTAGCAATTGTTGTATTTGCAGGGCAAGATTCCAAATATATACCTACGCAAATACTAGGCAAATGAGCAATGTTAAGCTGTCTGCTGGACGGCGTGAGAAGGTCACCAAGCCTCGAGAAAAGTTTTCCATGGTCAACTCGTGCGGAGGTTGAATTGAGTGCTGGATAAAAACTCTACCAGTGTCGAGTCGCTTCAGGAGGCCCGTCACCAGCAAGATTTAGCTTTAATAAACGAAGAAAGCGCGGCATGTGTAAACTTTAGGTATGAGGAATGGCGCATAAGTCTTCAATAATTCGGACATTTAATATCGCTATCAGTACACGTCAGTCTTCGGTCCCAGCAGTCTGGTTAAAGGTTCCGCACCTGCCTAGAGGTTACCCCTCGGTGGACCGGTTATTTAATCTCATTGTGCTCACTTTGGGTGTGCGGGGCATCCGCCGAGGGATCAGCATTGCCTTCCAGGAGGCATACCGTGTAATATTACAACATAC